CCTGTCCCCTTCCTCCCTGCATTCTCCCTTCCTGAACTTATACATATTAATCATATCCCCTCTGAGCCGTCTCTTCTCCAGAGAAAACAGGCCCAGCTCGCTCAGCCTCTCTTCATACGAGAGATGYTCCATTCCCTTAATCWTCCYGGYTGCYCTTCTCTGGACCCTCTCCAGAAGCTCCACGTCCCTCCTATACTGGGGTGCCCAGAACTGAACACAGTACTCCAGTACTCCAGTAATTGCAATTACCAAAATGTAATTGCTGATTTAACTCCAGTTGTGGAGTTGAACAAGAACTTATCCTTGAAGGAAGCAGCCCATTTTGGTATGAGTATCCCCAGTGCTCCAAAAATTCATACATAAAACATCAGACTAGGAAACCGAAATAGCAAAATAAAGGTGCATATTGTTCAAAACACGAAATGGCAAAGGCAATATGTTAATCTTTATTAGTCTTAGGTGCAAACAGCAAAGCATAAAGATTATATAATGGTACATTTGTTACAGATGGAAGAATAGGCTGGGATGTAGTTCTGTGTTCACTACAGTTGCCTTGATTTCTTAAAATTAGTGAGGGCTTTTCTAATATGGAAAAAGTTAAGAATGACGGCGTAGCCTGGACAAAGGAACCAGCTATTGACACTCTGCTGGTGTTTGGGAACAAATACTTGACAACAAGACCGTCGGAGCTGGAGACAGTGGAACCACATTGTTCCAGTGTCATGTGGGAGAGAGGTAATAGGAGAAAGGGAAGGAAAGAGCTGAGGCATCAGAGTAGTGGAGAGGTGACAGGCAGCAAGGGAAGTGCTGGGATATAGGCCCTTGCCAAAGGTCCAGAAGAGCCAGGGATCTAGGGATAGGTGGGTAGCTGCTTAGCTGGGGAGATGACGAAAGGAGGGAAGCAGCAGTGACAGCCCACTTCAGAAACACTATTTAAAAGAGCAATAAAAGGTAAAACTGTAGAAATGTTACTACGTGCAGCTAAAAGAGGCAGAGGCATAGAATAAACACTTTGCCTCTTTCATCACAAATATAGGGGGCAGGGCAGCCAGCCTTTTCTGTCATGACTTAGTAGCCTGCACACACATACAAAACATTACATAATTTATGTAGTCACTCCAGATGCAGGCAGTCCTTTGTAGTTGTTCCATATCTTTGCTTGCTATGAGTCGTTTTTAGGAGGGACATCATACACACTCTTTGAAAACATTCTCCTGAAGACTGCAGTTCTTTTATTATTCCTAGGAAACACCCCAAAGCCAGCTAATTCCTGTTTAGATTAATAGATTAGACTAACCCACAACTGTGAGCTAGTGAAAGCAAAGATTTTCCAGTGACTTAAAAAGAAAAGGTGGCACCTGTATTCTGAAAGGGAATCCTAAAATAGATGTTGCTTTCTAAAATATAGATACTGAAAATCTGTAAGCATTTTTTGGAGAAAAGAGCATGGGTTCATATTTTGCAACAGAATGACTAAATTCAGCACATGCTTCAAAAGGCCTTTTTGTAACTCACTAGAAAGGAAATGTTGCAAACAAAAAGCAAACAAAGAACCCTCAGATATCTCAACTTACTGTTCTTCAAAGGAGAAGAAGAGACAATTTTAGAAAAGCATGGACTCACATAAAATAATAAAAAGGGGTTGCCTTTAATTTTTCAGGCCAGTCTGTTACTACCTATGAAGCAGTCAGAAGCTGTGGCATACAATGTGGTTGCAAGATACAGCAGTGAACACTCAGGAGGAGTTTTTCCTCCTGCTTCTCCTTATCCTTATGTGTTTTCATAATAAATCTGATTCTCTCACCCTCGGTAGGACACTTTCAAGACTTTTTTTAGTTGTAACTCAACTCTCTGACAAATGCTCTGCTTAGAACTGTCCATCTGCAAGTCACTCTGAGCTGCTCTGAATCATCTTTTTCCAGTTATTTTTTCTCCTTTAAGACTTATTATTTGTCTGAGTCACTAGCCTATGTTCACTTATTATTGTTCTTTCCGATTATCATTATTTTGTCAGTGATTTTCGTTCATTCTGTGATCTACTCCATGTCACATCCTACCCAGAGCAACTTCATTTTGATTCATGCTTTTCCCATTTCTTTTTAATCTTTTCTTCTCTCTATACTTCTTCTCTATACTCAGCCTGTGTTCCCCATACTCTGTTCTTCCTGTTGTATTTGTAGATATTTTTTGCTTTTTCAGCAAGCCAACTATTGGGACTTTCAAAGCGTGGGCAAACACACGCAGCAGCATCTGGCTTGAATAGGATGAGGTCAGCAGTGCAGCTTCTGAAAGCACATTTCATTCCATGGACTTGTCAACAATTAGAAGTTAGGAAACAAACTGGTGTTTTATATTGGTAAGACACAGCTCTTAAATTTGTCTCTTGTAGTTTGTTTCAATTTTATTTCACTTAGATCTTGCATACACACCAAATTGGTATAGCCGTTCAAAACAAACACATTGCATGACTGCAAAAAACAGTTTAATGGCAGCCAGTGATCATGAAATCACCACTTTAATTGATAATTCAACATTATTGCAGTATTGCAATATATATGCATATGTTCATTTTTGCTAATATCTTTCATCCATTCAGCAGTGTTGGATTAATTGCAAGGTATCATGTCAGCATTGCAACAGTACTGTGTGAATTTAGCATGTTACTGCTTTAATGTCAAGCATGAGTAAACCGTGTCTCCAAGAGATACCCACTACTAATTTTCTAACATCAAGAAATGCACCCTTCCCATTGTCTTTGGTGAGTTGTTCTTCTGCTTTGTAAGCCTTACTGTTAAAAAGAAATAGCAACAGAAAAAATGTGCCCAATTTGTATTTTATATTTTTTTCACCTTCATAGCCAAGAACAGGTTGTTGTTTTGCTCATTTCCACTAAGGGTCCTTTATTGCTTGGTTTTGTTGTCCTTCGCACTTGTACCCCTTCATAAGGCCATCTTCTAAGATGACCTTATGATAAGCTAAACAAACTGAACTTTCTCAGCCTCTCAGGATGTATTTTAGCAGTTGGGCTGCTCTGATAAACAACAGAATGAGGCAAACATTAATAACCATGTTGCAAAATTCCGATGGATGCTGGGTGTCTTCATCAGTGCTCAGCTCACAGGTTCTGGAGGCATATTCCATGATTCTTTGTGTTGCTGTAAGGCAAGACAATTCTTAATGCTCGTCCAGGGAGACGGAGGTGTAGAGGTGTAGTGTGTTCCTGAGAAGTGGGCGAATAAAAGACCAAAGGAAACTGACCTTCAGTCTATCTAGGTCAGGAATATATTTTTTATATATATATATATATAAAATATATATATTATATATAGAGAGAGAGTAAATTATTGTATTATTATATTATTATATTATTATATTATTATATTATTATATTATTATATTATTATATTCTGTATATATATTATTATATATATATTCTGTATAAATATATTATTTATATATATATATACACACAGAAATGTGGCTCTTATTTGAGGATACCTGACAAACTTGACTGACAGAAATACACTGTGGAAGGAGTGGTGTTCAGGGGCAGAAGTCTAATAACATTATTCATTAGCTATGCAGTGAAGATGCCTGCAGTAGTATAAGGTTTTCTTGTGAGTCAATGTTGTGATTCTTCTTTGTTCTTTCGACTCTCTTTTTTAAAGTGTTGATATCACAGCTGGGAGTTGTGTCCAGAGAGTTAAAATCACCTCCATATTTCCCACTTATGATTCTGGTTTTTATGCTCCACAAAAGTTTTGCTATATCAAATCATACTGTGTTGCCTCTCTAGTAAAACCTCTCGTTGTTTTCCAGAATACAAACTCTATCCTGTAAGCATGCTCTAAATGGTCTAATTCCTTATTGTATGTCCTTGCATCTTTCTCCCTTATAGTCTAGATTGCTCTGACTGACACAGCCCCCATAACCTTCGCCATTCACAAATGTTAAGACCAGTGGTTTTATTTTTACTTATTTCTTCTAATAGACTGAAAAATATGAAGAACACAGAGCTGATGAAAATGAAGCTGATTAAGAATTAGGACTAATCTCTGGAGAACTTTCCTAAAACATCATCATCAGAAATAGCTCCCTGCTGACAAGTAGGTTTTGAGACCTGTGCACCAGCTCTTAATCCATTTATGATGTACTTTATTGATATTGCATAGCCCTAATGTTTCATCAGCATGTCAAGTGTAGTAAATCAAATACTTTACTGAAGTCTATTATGTACTTTATCCACTATAATTGTCAGAGAGAAATCAAATCTGCTTGACAAAGCCCATTTTTTCATAAAATTACATTTACAAAGTTTAATTATAATCCTTCTCTTTTAATTTTCTATCGATTGAATCTTTATCGTTTTTCCATGTTTTGCCAAGAACTGAGGTTTGTCTAGCAAGCCTCCTGTTACCGTCTCCTCTCTCCTAACATTCCTGAATATTAATAAAATCTGAATATGCTTTTAAACTCCAGAATTATCCATATGTAGTCTCACGCACACCTGGCATTTGCCAGAAACAATACTAAAAATCACTGCTCTATTGCCATTAAAGGGAAAGAGATATTTTTCCACTCATTTCAACTGCAGCCCAGATTCAGATAGCCAAACAAGTTATGCAGTGGGTAATTAGTGAATATGCAGTGGATTGGTAACCTGTCCAGTAATGGAAAGAGTGGAATAGAAAAATTACTTCCCAATTAGAATCATAGTTTTCACAAGAGTTCTATCTAAAGACAGAGGATGCTTTTTATGGACAATTAGGAAATACAGAACAAGAAGAAAAAGGCAAAATATTAACACGAAGTGGAGAATTGATTTGGGGCATTGGGTGAGCACTTTGGACATGGTGGTGTGTAGGGAAGGAAGCTGAAAGCAGGACTGAAGCCAAAGAAGAATTGAGAGTAACAGCAAGAAACAGAAGAATATAAACTGAGGGAATGACACGCAGTTTCAGACAGGTTGCAGACAGCAGCTGTATCATGGGATTTCCAGTGTGGATATTCCCCACATTTCTAGTGAGGAAAAAAGCAGCCACTTCCCAGAAGAGGGGGCAAAAGTTAAAGCAGAAATTAAGTGAGGCACAGGCTACTGTTTGGATTATACTGTAAAATAAGAAGAGACATCAAAAGAGATCAACTAAACAATAAACTGAAAAATAAATTAGCAGTAAAAACAGATATATTGCAAATTGTGGTTAAAGTGGAATGAGATAGCACTCAGTTTAGAGCAAGAGCAGAGGAGTTAGGGACCTCCGTAGGTGAACTGGTGTGGAGTGGCTGCTGAGGTGAGGGCAACAGGGGCTGAAACAGGCCTGCTTGAGCAGCCAGAGCAGCGGGACGTAGGGCTGCGTTTAATTCAGAACAGGCTGACCCAGAAATGGGCAATAACTCTGCAAGATGGGCCCAAGAGGTTGTGCGGTAGCATCCAAATTGTCTCCCGGGCAAAAGCAAAAAGCAAATGAGAGGTGTGTGGCTTGAAAGCAGCTGCTAGGGAGCAAGCGCATCAGGGTTGTGCCTCAGCAGGATGGAGTGACTGTTCCTGATGATGGGGGATTTGAACTGAGGGTATTTAAGGGCCTGGCATTCGTCAGGCCTTAAAGTTGGCTTTGGATTTGATAGATCTTGGAGAAACAGAGGGGGACTGCTGGTAAGTGCTGTCTAAAGGACTGCAAAAATTATTAAAATGGCATGAAGTTTGGGAGTTTAATAAGCTGAATAAAGAAAGAGGA